TGTCCGTATGAATGATCTCAAAGAAATTAAACAGGCTGTCATGACTTTTGGGATGCATGCCTCTTTTGTTAAAGAGATGCTAAAATCTTGGGTCACAACAAGCAGAGCTACTCCCTATGACTGGTTTCAGTTGACCTCTGTAGTCGTTGAGAGTGGGCAACAATTAAAATGGAAATGCTTATTCAGGCAAGAGGCTAGACTTTTAGAACAGCAAGAAAAGGCAAAGGGAGTGACATCTCCCTAGATAAAATTCTAGGTGAAGGATTATTTTCAGACCCTCAGGAACAAGCTAATTTGGATGAAAACACACTCTCCATATGCACTACAGCAGCCTTAAGGGCTTGGGACAGGGTACAAGACCCAAGACAGAGAATGGAATCATTTGTCACAATTAAACAAGGTCAGAGGAAACCCTTTAGTGATTTTTTTTTACAAAGACTTACTAAGGCTGTGCAAATAGGGATATCTGACCCAGATGCAAGACATATAATGATTGAGTCTTTGGCTTATGAAAATGCAAATGTGAAATGCAAAAAGATTTTGGGGCCTTTAAGGTTAAGATCAGCACCCTTGGAAGAATGGGTCTTGCATGCACTGGATGTTGATACATTTGACTATGGCACTGAAGCATGGGAAGAAGAAGCAATTTCCAATGGTAAAAGGAGACACCAGAATACCAAATGTTTTAATTGTGGCAAAATGGGTCATATGAAAAGGAATTGAAAACAATGGATTTTCAGAAATAATAATAATGCATCTTCTAGAAATAACAGAAATAGGAGGAATCAGCCTTCAGGTTTATGTAGAAAATGTGGAAAAGGTAGACATTGGACAAATGAATGCAGATCTACAAGCGATAGACAAGGCAACATGATACAGATGAGAAACGTGAGGGGGGGCCTCACAGGCCCCCATAGCAAACATGGTTCAGTCATTTCCAGTTTCTGCAGAGAACGGGCCTCGTCAGGACAATTAGGAAACCTCATGCCTACTGTTACAAACAATAACAATCAGAAAGATGAGTTACGTGTGTATTGGCAAACTTCTATAAATGATCAAAGACCTAAGCTAAGAGTGTGTGTAAATGACATTTTTATTACTGGCCTGCTGGACACAGGTGCGGATGTAAGTATCATTACCCCAGAATCTTGGCATCAGTATTGGCCTCTTCAGAATGTAAATGTTCAGCTCCTGGGAATTGGAAACCTATCTCAAGTAAGACAGGGCATGAGATGGGTTGAATGTATAGGGCTTGAGGGACAAATAGGAAAATTAAGGCCATATGTAGCCAATATTGCAGTGAATTTATGGGGTCGTGACCTATTACAACAATGGAATACCCAAATTAACATTCCTGCTACTTCTAGAGCCTATATTTCTGAGAATAATATTAAAAGATATTACAAACGGAGAAAACCGGCCATTCGGGCCATACAAGAACAAGTAATTGAAGCCCCTTCAGAGATACCAACAGCCTTGCCTCTAAAATGGTTGACTGAGAAACCAATATGGACAAAGCAATGGCCTCTAGCTGAGGAAAAGTTACAGGCTTTAGAACAGCTGGTACAAGAGCAATTAGATGCTGGACATATAGAAGAATCTACCAGCCCTTGGAATTCTCCTGTATTTGTGGTTAAGAAAAAATCAGGTAAATGGAGAATGGTGACAGATCTCAGAGCTATCAACAAGGTTATTCAACCTATGGGTCCTCTGCAATCTGGAATCCCTTTGCCCTCTTTATTACCAAAAGGATGGCCTCTTATAGTTATTGATTTAAAGGATTGTTTTTTCACCATACCTTTACAAAAAGAAGATAGAGAAAAATTTGCCTTCACGGTGCCTACTTACAACAATTCTCAACCTTCCAAGAGGTACCACTGGGCCGTCCTCCCCCAGGGTATGTTAAATAGCCCCTCCTTGTGCCAATATTTTGTGAACCAACCATTGCAAATAATACGCAAGAAATTTCCCAAATCTATAATATACCACTACATGGACGACATCTTGTTATCCGATTCAAACATGGATACCTTGAACAGACTGTTTGAAGAAATAAAGATACTTTTACCTAAATGGGGATTGCAAATTGCTCCTGAGAAGATACAGAAGGGAGATTCTGTTAATTATTTAGGTTATAAAATAGGTTTGCAAAAAATTAAGACACAAAAGGCACAAATTAGGAGAGATCGCCTACAGACTCTTAATGACTTTCAAAGACTGTTAGGAGACATTTCCAGTCTACGACCAGCTGTTGGGATAACACCTGATCTAATAATTCATTTGAACAAAACCTTGGAAGGTGATAAAGACTTAAACAGTCCCAGAGAATTAACAGCTGAAGCAGAAAAGGAACTGACAATAATTGAGGAAAAATTACAACAGGCACATGTGGACAGGGTGAATCCAGAGCTCGATTGTATTCTCGTCATATTACCATCCAAAATTTCTCCTACAGGAATTTTAATGCAGAGAGATGATATTATCTTGGAATGGATCTTTTTACCACATAAACCAAGTAAAAAACTGAAAACTTATGTGGAAAAAGTCTCTGAGTTAATTATAAAAGGCAAGCTGAGACTTCGTCAACTAGCAGGCATAGACCCAGCAGAAATTATAGTGCCTTTCACTGCTGATGAACTAAAGAAATTATGGGAAGATAATGAAACATGGCAAAGAGCTTGTGCTAATTTTTTGGGAGACATTAATAACAACTATCCAAAAAGCAAGAGGCTTAACTTCATAAAGAGAACTTCTTGGATCCTTCCTCGAATCGTCCGTGATGCTCCAATAACTGGAGCCCGTACATTCTATACTGATGCCAATAAAACAGGGAAGGCAGGTTACAAATCGGAAGACTTGGGTAAGGTGGAACAAAGTCCTTATGATTCTGTCCAGAAGGCAGAATTATATGCCATTCTTATGGTGCTAAGGGATTTTAGAGAACCTATTAATATAGTTACTGATTCACAATACGCAGAAAGAGTTATTTTACATATTGAAACTGCTGAATTTATACCTGATGATACAGAACTAACCTCATTGTTTATCCAGGTTCAAGATTTGATCAGGAACAGGCTTTGCCCTATGTACATAACACACATCCGATCCCATACGGGTCTGCCAGGTCCTCTAGCACAAGGTAATGCAGAAATTGATCAATTATTGATTGGTAGTGTGCTACAAGCCTCTGAATTTCATAAAAAACATCATGTTAATAGCAAAGGTTTGAAGAAAGAGTTTTCTATCACATGGCAACAAGCTAAGGAGATTGTAAAGAAATGCCCTACTTGCTCTTTCTATAACCAAACGCCACTGCCTGCAGGGGCTAATCCAAAGGGCACCCAAAGGAATGAAATCTGGCAGATGGATGTGTTTCACTTTGCAGAATTTGGCAAATTGAAGTATGTTCACCACACCATTGACACTTATTCAGGCTTTCAGTGGGCAACTGCTTTAAGTTCAGAAAAAGCTGATTCAGTAATCACTCATTTATTAGAAGTCATGGCTATCATGGGTATACCTACACAAATAAAGACAGATAATGGTCCTGCTTAT